ACGTTTCTTTTCAAATATTTGGGTTGAAGAAAAAAAAAAAAAAAAAAAAAAAAAAAAAAAAAATCATTTTTCAATTATAAATATACGTACAAATATAGCAATGATGCCTGATTACCTTTTTGTCAAAATATCATACATATATCTGTTGCAAAATAATTATGCATAAATTGCTAAACTGATAAAATGATTGCAAGATTTAATGTCATATGAAAAAATTATGGATATCAATCTGTACTGTGGATATTTATATTCCATAAATACATATTTAACCTATGCATAAATTACAGCTTATGGTAAAAAAAAGAAAGAAAGAAAAAAAAGAAAAAATCTACACAAACTGGGTACACATATGCTAGCTATATATAAACACAAATATTTACTTCTCAATCTACACTTACAGAAACATGAAATGGTCACTGAATATCTTTGTACAAGTAATGTAGAAGAAGATGAAGATGAAGAAGAAGAAGAAGAAGAAGAAAAAGAACAACAACAACAACTACAACAACAAAAGCAACAACAACAACCATTTGGTGCAAGATACTGGTATAGCATGAAACAACTGATTATTACACACATAAACAGCTTTCAGGATATAAAATAATGACAGAATAAACCCTTTATTTGTCTGGCTTTCATCCTGAAAAAAAATAAAATAAAGCTTGACAAAAAAGCAATTTGTCTCTGATGTGCATTCGAAATAAGGCATTTCTTACAATTTCAACGGAAATGTACCAACCTACTCAAGGGAAGGAATACAGTATTTTGGAACGTGTCACTAACTCGGTACAACGTAAGAAAAAGAAGGACTAGTTCAATAGGTAGAAAGTCCATAAACCAATTTGGAAACTGACAGGGTAATGATCTTGTTTTATTGTTTTCCCACAGATAAAATGGGGAGTAGTCCCATCCACTGAATGATTACCTTACTCACATCACACTTGCAAGCTCCCTTTTTCATATCCTAAGGTCAGCAAATGCAGTCTAAATCTAATGACTAACTGAGTGTGTATGAGTGACTGTGTGTCAGTGTGTGTGAGTGAATGAGTGTGTGAATGAGTGAGTGGATGAGGGAGTGAATGAGTGAGTGAGTGTGTGAGTGAGAGTACAAAAAAGAGTACATATGTACATGTATATGTATATATATACATACTATATATATAAATATATTATATTAATATATACACATATATGTATATGTATGTTTACAAATAGGGGGGGGGGTCAGGCCCTGTATATGTGTATGTGTATATATGTGTGTATGTGTGTATGTATGTGTGTGTGTGTGTGTGTGTGTGTGTGTGTGTGTGTGTGTGTGTGTGTGTGTGTGTGTGTGTGTGTGTGTGTGTGTGTGTGTGTGTGTGTATATATATATATATATATATATATATATATACATATATATATATATATATACATACACAATATCCAATAATCAATTGCTATTTGTGACAAAAGATAATAAATTAATGCATACAACAAAGACAATAGATGACTAATACTTCACGTATACAAAAAAAAAAAAGGAAAAAAAATCAAATACTTGGTATTAAATATCTAAGTAAACCATTTTGAACTAAAGTTATATTACCAACATAAAATTTGTCATTGCCCTCTCATTACGTATGTTTGCATCTATATTACTTAATTGTATCACAGAACTGAACATCAGTTGGCTCTACAGAGTTAGGTGAAATCAATACAGTTCACTGGTTTCCCCTTGTACAAATATTTTTCTTCATATATGAACTTTCAAACATACATACTAAAAAAAACACAAGTTAAGATATGCAAATGTAGATGCACATAAACAAAACAATTATATACCAAACATGCTAACATACATTCATAAACAATTATGAGTCCCTACCTTCCCTCACACAAAAATACTGTGTGTATTAACATGCCACAGGATAAACAATTAAACAAACAAACAAATAAGCACATTGATGTACGCACACACAGACACACACAAAATAGAAGATAGCAATGATAAAAATCTTGTAAAATTGACAAAGTTCATGCTAAATGTATGTACATGCCATGCCCACTGTGAGTCGACTTGTTCGATTGTTTTTACACATAGATGGCTACACTTGTACTAAGTATCCAATGAGCCAATTATGAGTACTGCCTGTCTCGCAGGTTCACCCTTTTTCATCGATTTACGAAAATATTTAACGTTATTCTAATTTCTTGTTAAAAATAACACCATTTATATTTATAGCACTAGTAAGAATACGTTTTTTCACACCAATTCAAGGAAAGGTGAAATCAGGACTAGCAGAGCCATCTATGGACAGAGATATTTCACAAAAATATAAAAAATGAGTACAGCATTTTCCCCATTTTTTGTTCATTTTCCCCGGCGGCAATGGGTTAAATGTCAAAATAAAAATGCATTAACTTTTCCTTTTCAACAAGACTAAAATCACTTCACAGATCAGGCAACTGACAATAATGAAAGTTTACCCTAATTTGTATGCATACTATTTTTCTCTGTGTATCTAAAAATATAACCTACTGTTGGATAGGCTGTATATAATAGGGATTGAATATTCACATGTGTATTTTGTTAAGATTTGAATTAAAATATTAATTTGCTAATTTTCTTATATGTAATTTACATATCTTTTATTTTAGTGTTGGACATATCCCTTCTACACAAATTTTCTTAAAAGACATATCATATGTGTGTGTGTGTGTGTGTGTGTGTGTGTGTGTGTGTGTGTGTGTGTGTGTGTGTGTGTGTGTGTGTGTGTGTGTGTGTGTGTGTGTGTGCGCGCATGCATACATGTATTTATATTTATATATATGTATGCATATATATATCTATATTTATGTGTGTATATATAAGCATAAGCATATGTATATGCATATGCATATGTATATATATATATGCATATGTATATGTATATATATATATGCATATGTATATGTATATATATGTATGTGTATATTTATGCACATATATATATATATATATATATATATATATATATATATATATATATATATATATATATATATATATATATATATATATATATGGATGTGTGTGTGTGTGTGCGCATCTCTTTTAACCCATTGCCGCCGGAGAAAATGAAAAAATGGGGAAAATGCTGTGCCTATATTCTATACTTTTTTGTTAAATGTCTGCCCATAGATGGCTCTGTTAGCGCCTGATTTTAAATGGCGGGAAAAACGTATTTTTCACTAGTGCCATGAATATTGATATTGTTATTTTTATCATAAACATAATTTTTATAATGTTTTTCAACATTAGTAACAGCAAAATAAGATAATGTAAAGTATTTCGTAAATCAAAGAAAAGTGTGAACGTACGAGACAAACGGTACTCATAACTGGCTCATTGGTGATTTAGTACAGTTGTAGTCATCTATGTGTGAAAACAATCTAACAAGTAATCTCACAGTGGGCATGGCATGGCATACCCGGCGGGAATGGGTTAACATATAGCATAATGTAGAAATACTACTGATGTTTGTGACATAAGGCTAAATTTCTGATTTAATGAACACAACCAACCATAATTTCTTGCTTTCATATTCATTCAAAACTAAGGATAACAGCCCTAATTCAAAGTAATAGTAAAAATAGTCTAATCCATTTGAAACTAGTGACGACAGTCTTAATTTGAAGGCACAGTAAAAGAAGATTTAAGGCTCTTGGGGTGGATTTAATGACACGAAAGCCTGACAAGAACTACGAATAAACACAGACAATTTTCCATTCCCCATTAGGCTATGTCTGTTCTACAGGATAATTCTTAAAAGGTAACACCATCAATGGTAAGCTAATATTAAAAAAAAAATCCCTCTCGGATTGTTCCAAGACCTGACAAAAACTCTCCCACCTGTATGTCTTATAATACGACGGCACATCATATGCTACTATATATGAAAATATAAATGGCAAACTTATGAGACTTGTTTACACAACCAGTTCTTTCTAAAGTTAAAGGCTCATTCTAGAGAATTCTACACAACAATGGATAAAGACTATATCCGTATCATTTACTTCATATCAAACATCTATTAAAGATCAACGAGATACAATCTATTGTTAGTATGAAAATATGTTGAAATGTTTCCCTCTATCCTTTTCATCATTACACATATAGAAATAAACTTAGAAAAAAAATACTGCTCTTCTTCCAAATTTTCTGAATTCTAATCCCAACAGCAACAGAATAGTGTCTATCGTAAAAATCATTAATGCCTTCTTTGTAGCCTAAACTCTTGAAGTCAGTCTTGGACATGAACAGTCAATAATTTTGTTGAAACATGAACATTCTTGTAAAACTGAAGCCAAAGGTCCCTATAACAGATGAGTTTGCAAATGTTGTATTAAATGTCTTTTCCCTTACTGAGAAAATTACTCAGAGTAGATGGATGTTCTCTTATTCAATAATCATATTACAATATGGTACACTTTACCAAAATCTGACATTTACACTTGATATCATCTATGTAAATGCCAAATCCTAATATACAAATTCCACAATTGCTTTCTGCATTCTGACTCGAGCCTGAAAGGTTAAACTGACAGACCACCCTCTTCCCCCCATGAATAACACGAAACTCACGAATACCAGGCCTCATTATGAATGATCATGAACCCTCATTAGCTTAAAACAGCCTTGCAAGCCCTAAATCACCCTTAATGACCGCCTGGGCACAGCGGGCCAGGGTAAACAAGAGCCTCTGGCCAGGACAAGTGACCCGCTGACCTGCCACGGGTTCACGCCCCCACCAGGTCAAGGGCGCCCCTCGGCCAGCGTGGGGCACAAGGGGCGTGGCACCAAGGGCGTGGCATGACCCTGGGTGAGGGCCAGTTGACAGCTCCAATGCCCTCCTCCTCCTTCTCTTCCTCCTCCTCCTCCTCCTCCTCCTGACTGAACCAACACTCCCTCCCCACACACGCTCCCTCAAACCTCCCCTTCTTCCCACCCAAACAACGGAAATAATTCATCTTACGGTCTTTCGTGTGGTCGTATCCAACGATGGCAAAATAATCGGCAAGTCTCGACATTATTAGCCTTCCCAGAGAGGGATAATCGCCAAAATATCCGCGGCCACGAGCATCATTCCCTCCGCACAGCCATG